TAGGGAAGGACTTGAGTGTTGACATGTGAGCCCTTGTGGACCCTGGGTAGTTGGAATCTTGCAGTCCCTACCCCAACTGTTCTTTTTTGGAATGTTCAGGGCCGTGTGTGTGCTAACAGGCTGCTGGTGAACCCTTGAGTCCCTTATGAAACTACAGAATGGCAAAAAAGATGGTTCTGCATCATGTTTGTAAAAAGCATATTTCCAGTATAGAAGCAGTGAAATGAAAAACTGCATGGCACGTGGCCCTGCCATTTTTGACAAATCATTTTGTTCAATTGAAGAGAGGAAAATACTAAATTTCCACACCCAGGGCCTATGATGTACAGCCCCTCAGCATTATCCATGTCAGAAATATTCTGCAGGGCCAGCAGGTGGCATGGCAGTTGAGGCACTTGATTCCCACATGGCTGACAATGATTTGGTCCCAGACCTAGGGGCCTGAAAATCATGTTGGGCATATGTGCATAAGTACCTAAAATCCTGAGAGGAGAATGGAGGAGAAGGGACTGTAGAGTGACCAGCCACCCTGGGGGTGATTTCTCACTTTCCCTTTCTTTGTCTCTCTGTCTCCCTCTGGCAAGATCATGCACCCTAAGGCAAAAATCTTTTTTTTTTTTGAGAGAGAGATTTTCACTGTAGGGCGCGTGCGCTCGCCAGACAGAGAGAGACATAGAGACAGAAAGCGAGAAATCACCCCCCAGGGGGGATGGTCACGCCGCAATCCCTTCTCCTCCATTCTCCTCTCGGGATCTTGGGCACACACACACATGCGCCCGGCGTGAGTTTTCAGCCACCGGGTCCAGGACACGAACCGCGGTCGACTACGTGGGAGTCCAGCGACATAGCCATTACGCTAACTGCTGGCTCCCAAAATCTTTTTTTTTTTTCAAAAAAGGAACTTCAGACAGGATATTGTTATAATTCAATAATTCAAGGGCAGAGGGATAGTAAGAAAATCCAGGGAAAACAGCAGTCAAACTCCAAATTGGGTTTGTAATAAGATTGATCCAAAAGCAGGTGCATTTTGAAGAGGGAAAAGAACCAAATAGAAATCAGCATATGACCTCTGAAAACAGTATTGCAAGAAAGGTCAGAAAACTGATAATAAAAGCCATGTGAAGAGCAAATATTAGAAAACCGGTAGCAATAAATATTGACTGATGATAGCAGAGAAATGAAATATAATGTACCTAAATATAACTTACTTACAATAGACGTGCAAAGATTGACAATATCTGAAAGACTGATAGGACAATAGAAGATACATGTATATACATACATATATATACATACATATTTATATGACAAATTAAATTACTATTCAATAATAAAAGACCAAACAACAGAAAAAATGTAGAGATACAATTGAAGAAAACTTTCTTGAAGTGAAAACCTGAATCTGAAGATCAATAGTGACACTGAGTCTAGGAAAAGTTGGTTAATAACAATTAACCAGATGTGCCTAAGTAAAGACAGGTAGAAAAAGTGTCCTGTGAATATCTAGGCAAACATCCAACTCATCTTCAGAGAGGAAATGTCAGACCGTCTTCTAAAATTTGTCACAACAATGTTCAACACTAGAAGATAATTAAAAGTTCTCTACAGTATCACTTGAAGGAGAAAAATAGATGTTTATATCTAATTAAATTGTTCATACATAAAAGCAAAAGATATATAGAAATTTAACAATGCAAGAAATTGGGACTATAAGCTAAAAAAGTGAAAAATCGGCTTGCTGGCAAAGTGAGTCTAACAAGAGATCAATAGAAAACAGTGACTAAAAGAAAAGTGACAGATGCTGAATCTCTTTAACCATACAACCAAAGCTAAATCATCTTAGGAATTTTAGGTACAGAAAAGAATATTGTAACTTATAATAATGTAGAAATTTGGTGGTTAAGGCACGGGACTCTTAAATGGTTGCACTTCAAGTCCCAGGCCCAGTGGCTTAAAAATCATACCAGTTGTGTGTGCTTTCATACCAAAAATCCTGAGAAGAGAATGGATAAGGGACTGTGGCTTTCCTAACCCCTTAGGGGGTGATTTCTCACTTTCCCTTTTCTGTCTTTCTCCATTGAGTGCACACGCCCTATTGGAAAAACCTAAACACACACACACACACACACACACACACACACACACACGATGTAGAAATAGTTATGTACTCTATCAAAAATTTGGAGGTAAGAGAAGGAAAGAGAAATAGTATTTGAGTTTCTCATCTTCTACTGCTGAAGATTGAGATATTTAAAGCAGATAAGGAAATAAAGTCACAGGTATTTATAATTTAAAATTATAAAGATAATCATTGAATGAAATAAGTGATTATAATTGATTACAGGATTGGGTGGTGGAGTAATTAGTCTTAAAATTGAGTGGTGTAAGGGAGGTAGAAGAAATAAAAGAGGATTACTGTACTAATCTCATATTTCATAGTATGAACTCAGTAAATAATGTTCAAGGTGCTCTTTTTTTTGTTCCTTTTATTTGTGTGTGTGTGTGTGAGAGAGAGAGAGAGAGAGAGAAAGAGGTAGAGAGAGATTTTTGCTATAGGATGCATGCACTCACCAGAGAGAGAGAGAGAGAAAGAGACAGAAAGACAGAAAGCAAGAAATCACCCTCTCAGGGGAATGGCCAACCCACAATTCCTTTTTCCTCCATTCTCCTCTCAAGATCTTGGGCATGCACGCTCACACACTCGATGTGAGTTTCAAGCCTCCAGGTCTGGAACTTGAACAGTGGTCGACTATGTGGGAGTCCAGTGATGTAACCATTTCACCATCCACTTGTCCCTCAAGGTGCTATCTCAATAAATAGAGCTTTAAGGATAAATAGAGTTATCAACTTAAGTGTTAAAAGAACTATTGGGTTGTCAGAAAAGTCATGAAGCATTTTTGCATAGAAACAATATGTCATGACTTTTCCGAAAACCCAATATAAACAGACCATCAATTTTAGAAAATACAATGAGAAGGAAAACACATACAGCAAAATAAAGAATATATAAATCATAATTTTTTTTTAAATTGCATATGTTTTTGTCAGAAAGACAGAAAAACAAAAAGAGAGAGAGGTAAAGAGAAAGCATTCCCCAAAGGGGCATGGTCACTTCATAATCCCTTTTCCTCCATTTGTCTATCTTAGGATTTTGGACAGGCACATATATGTGCCCAGGGTATTTTTCAAGCCATCTAGGCCAGGATTCAAACCAAGATTGGCTATGTAGGATCTATCTGGCTTCTTTAACCACTGGGGCATGGGCCATACCAATAATATTTTTTAATACTGAGTCATTGGGAAAGTCATGACACATTTTTGCATAGAAAAATAAGTCATAACTTTCTCAGCGACTTAATATATTTATAAACAATAGATATATTGTACCTTCCTAATGTAAAATAATAGTTCTGAAGCCAATTCTATGGGGGTATCTAGACAAATATGAATTGTATCTAGACAAATATGAGTATGAATTAAAATAAAAAATACAATTTATGTTCAAATCAAATCTAAATGGATTTTATATATACAGATCCATCTAATATATGGTTACACAGAACAGTTATAAAAATAAAGATTTTTCAAGGACATAATTGAAAATGGAAAATAAAAGAGTAAGACACAGAAGACAAAAACGGACGAATATAACAACAATGGCAACAAAACAATCTAATCATAATGCAGGCAAGGTTGAATTCACTACAAAAGGCCTTAAAACACTTAGAAATGACTATTTGATAGTGGTGCTGTGTATAACTCACAGTTAAAGTCTGTTTGGGGTGACTCTTTAAGTCTCAGAGAAAATAAATTAACATTCCAAAACTGAAGGTAAAACAGAAGAAAAATTGTATTCTACAATAGAAGTGGCATACTGCATTTAGGACTTAAATAGACATCTCTATAAAGAAGTGCTATAAGGAACTATTCTAGCATAACTCTTTTACTAATTTTTTTAAGTTTATTTTTTCCTTATGAGATGGAGACAGACAGAAAGATACCCCCAACAAGTTCTTCATACTATGAGCCTACCCCCATCTTCAGTCAGCCAGGGCCAAGAGTGTGCACACATGTTCCCTACATATACAGAAAGACCTCAGGACAGGAACTGGCACATTTCCACATAGTCTCAGCATCATGAAGAATTGCATTACAGTTGAGCCACCATGGAGGGCCTCTATCTCAACTGTTAAAGAGGATATTCCAGACACTGTAATTAAATTCCTAGGTCAACATACAGCAAATAATTTATTCACTTAGAGCTTTGCCTTCCTGGTATTCTTTAAAATTGTTCAAAAAGAAAGTACAACCTAGACTATGTCTTACATCCTTCTATAGGTCCATTTAATCATTACATACTTGCTCATTCTTTCAAAACAATGTGCAGCAGGTCAAATGTTAGTCACCAGAGACCAGGATGTTAATGGCAGAGAGACTATCATGGAATAAACAAAGCAGCTTAACAAGTGGCCCAAACTGAGGGATGTGCAAGATGAGCTGGGCTCATTGATGTGGGGGAAAGACAGGGCTTCCTGTGCCTTGGGCAGAGCGTGGACTAAGCAGAATCACAGTGTAGACAGTAACAGTAACAAAACTATATGGGAAAATTTTACAATTTCAAATTTTTAATTCTAGCCACGTCATTTGTATGATTGTTTGTTTATCTTACATACAAATTCTAGGACTTCGATAGCTATAATATTAATTTGAGCACAGATATTAGCTATATGACTATTGCATTTGCTATAGATATGAGGAGTCTTCAAAAGGTTTGTGAAAAATGCATATTATAAAAAATTATGCAGAGATTTCAAACTTTTTTGCATTAAAATAGCCTTGTGCTCTAATTCCATATTTCTATGAATTTTTCAAATCCCCTTGTACAATATTTACTTGACTTTATTTCCAATTTAACTTGATTTTTGACATTTTAGTATTTTAGATTTTTATGTTATAAAATTTCTCACTGTGATTTATATCTCTGCTTCAAATGCAAGAAAGTAAACTTTTCTCCATTTACAGTGTTTCCCAAAATTTGTTCCATGAAACTCCAAGTACATAAGATAACATAAGCAAAAATTATTTCATGATCAAATACCTATGGAAAATGTCACCATCTTTGGTCTGACAGTGTGAAAGAACTCAGTCTAAATTTGTTTCATCTGATGGTTCTCTAGTAAATTTAGCAATGGAAACAATTTTGCATATAGCACTTACCACCCCAGTAATTCAGTGGTTTATGGCTCGCACTTCAGGAAACAGTATTCTAGAGTGCTTTGAGGAGTTTATATTTTCTCAGGATTTAACCTTTTAGAGGACATTTGATACCCCAATGCACCTGAAGTTTATGCCATTGTGGTACTATTTAGTAAAGAGTTCTTCTTTGCTGTCGCCCTCTCCTCTTGTTTTAAGCAAGTCATCTATCAACCTACCAACTAGAGAGAGTTACAAAAGTAGACTTATGCTCCTGTCAGAAAACATTAACATTATAAAATAGGATTCATTTCCCTGGGGTTGGGCTGACATTAATAGTTTTGTACTTTTAGTGTCTCTTTGAGACAACTGATTGAATCTACCAATTTATATCAAACCTGCTGGTAATTATCTTAGTGCTTTTCATGAAGCTGTGTAAACTCTTGCCTGAATCTCAATGTTTGGTCAAGACCAGACTACAGTCTTGAGATGGAATTAGTGAGGAGCAAAGGGTGTGGAAGTATGACTATTTCACCAGAATAATCCCTGAAATGTTATATCTAAACTTTCGGGGTATAATTCCAATACATTTTAAACTGACCCTGAAATGTTGGAGCAGATGCAGAATTCACTTTAGTTCTCTCAAGTCCCCAGTGCCACTCCTGTCTAGATCAGACTGCTATGGAAAGGGGACAAAATCCTTTCATACTCTTAAGTTTACTACCACTCAAGGTTTTAAAACGTAAATAAGAACAAGAAGTACTCTTCTTGATCTTTTGCTCCATATAATATTTTATATTACATACTGGGTGGTTACAAGTACAGTAATATCAGTGTATATAATGTTGAAAATTCTCCACATTTAAAAGAAAGCTCTAGGGTCCAGCCACAGTGGTACACAGGTAACTCCACCACTGAGGAGGCTGGGAGCTAGGTGGGAGACCCAGGTTCAGTTACTGGGCTAACCTGTAAAAACTGGGCATGGTTGTATGCAACTGTAATCCTGTGTATGTGGAAAGCAGAGGAAGGAGGATACAAACAATGGCAAAACCCCGCAAAAAATACCTGTCTGTCTGTCTCTCTCTCTTTCCTTCTATTTCTTTCTCTCTCTCACTCTCATCCAAAGAAGATGAAAAGAAATAAATCACCAAACACAGATTAATCCAGTTCTAATTTTCTTTTCAAAGGAGTGAGCTCTTAGAATTGGTTTCACAAAGATATATGTTTTTCAAATTATGTAGAGACAATAATATCCTTATATACATGAACAAGAATCAAACTTTTCATTTAAAACCATGAGTAATTCACTTCCAAATTTGGAAAACAAAAGTTCTGCTTTATTGGTTTCGGGCTATAAAGTGAATTATATGCTGCTGAATAGGATGCTGAGAATTTTACCTTTTCCTTCATTATCGATTATAGTCATGTCAGCCTTTGCCTTGGCTAATATTTCCATTGACAGTTCATGACCCAGTTCTGCAGCCCTCATGGTTGGGGTGCAGCCCATCCGGTCTTGCACATCAGGATGAGCACCAAGGTCAAGGAGAAAGCTGACCATGTCAACATCATTGGAAACCGAGGCTAAGTGCAGAGCACTATGCCCATTGATGGGCTCTGTGAAGTTGATCAGTTCAGGGTATCCAAGTCTGGTCAGCTTTTCGATCTGCTTCTTGTCTTTGTTTCGAACACACTGAAGAACTTTGTAGATCTGCAAGTTCTCAAGTCTCTTATCTGTTAATGCCATGCTTGACTAGCTCCTTGAAAAACTGCTTTCTGGACCTAAACAAAAACTACAGCACAAGAAAAAAAAAAAAAAAAAAAAAAAAGAAAAAGAACACACACACACACACACACAAAAACAAAAATCCAAAGTTAGCGTTATCATCTTCATTTTGATTCAATAACAATATTTTCCAAGTTCCCTAGGAAGAGAGGCTATTTCTTATGAAACATTATCATGGTTTACTACAGTTGATTTTAAGATTAGGAATTATATATAAATACCAAAAAAATAAGCTGGCATAAAGTTATAATATGTCAGAACAAACCTTTCATCATAATTTGTAGTAGTGTTCTAGGCATTTTTCTTGTTATCTCATTTCACTTTCCTTCCTCACCACAGCTTTTTTAGTTTACCCATGAAGAGAGTGAGGCTAACTAGCTGTCAAGGAAGGATTTGCACTTCCATCTCTATGGCTACATTCCAGCATGTCCCTGATAATGTAAAACCTATACAGATTTGAGTAATTAAAAATATGGATTATTATAAATTGTGAAGTGCTTATTTTAAAAAGAAATCTACTGAACTCTTTGGGATACCCAAGATGTGATGAGTGATTTCTGTGCCATTTTAAGGGAAATAAGTTAGGTAAGTGACTGAGAGACAACACTAAGTTTTTACATAAACAATTCCCAAACTGTTAAATAGTGATGAGTTGGTACATGTGCATATGTGCCCAAAATCCTGAGAGGAGAGTGGAGAAGAAATTGCAGCATGGCCATCCCCCTGGAAGTGGAGGTGTTTTCTCTTTCTTTCTCTCTCCAGTGAATGTACATACCCTATAGCAAATTAAAAAAGAAATAGTGATGGACATTTTGATAAAATTTTATCTCCATTTATTATTTATGGGAAAAAATCTTTTGAATCAAGTAAGTAGGCCATGCTAAGTATGCCAAATTTGCTTTGCCTTTTTTTTTTCTTCTTTTTTTATTTTTCTTGGGGAAAGAAAACATGTTATCATATAGGAAATTCATTCCAGTTAGTTTGGAGGGTAGTTAGTCCATTCTGTATTCTGTCACAGGAATGAGTCTGTAACCAAGCCTTGACCCATTTAAGTGATCCATCCCTCCCCAGGTACAATGAATTCCTTAAGCATATGCTCATAGCCAGTGTCCTGTAGGACCCTTTTGCCAGAACTATGTGAAAGGTGATTTCTGCTAAAGTTGCTAAGCGGTAGGGTGTGGAGCTGGGCCTACTGGCTGCTTATCTTGTCCATTGCAAAGAAAGAACATGGTTAAAGATGGAGAGAAACTGAGATTACTTAAGTTGACTGTAGACTCCATTGTTCCGGAACTTACCTACCACTTTATGTTCCAGGTTGCAGTAGTATATATGTCCTACTCCCCACCTTATTTTGTTATAAGCTATTGGATTGCTGGAAAAGTCATGCTGCATTTTTTCCATAGACAAACATAGAAGAAATGTGTCATGACTTTTCCAATAATCCAAAAGTTAGCTAGATTTCCATCATCTGCAATAAAATGATTCCATCTTGCCATGGAATCTAAAATTATGCACCTCTTTCCCCATCACAAACTTATTCTCTCACATCATTCCCTGTGGCAGTGAGTTATACTGTTGACTATGTGCTCCTTTATCTTTTTCTAGGCAGCCACAACATCTCCATCCTACATTACTGCTCACTTTTCCACCTTCTTGCTGGATCCTCTTCTTCTGCCAGAAGCCCAATAATTGGAGTGCCAAGGACGAGGTCATCAGGACACCTCTATCCTTAAGCACTTCCCTGGTGCCTCATCCCATCCCGTGACCTTCAGCCCAATTTTCAGCTTCTAATTCTTCACCCTGAAATTTATATAGCTATTTTTCTGCACTGAAAAGTTATTTATCTACCTCCCAACTATTCATTCTCATCCAGACATCTAACAGGCACCTAAAATGTAACATGTCCAGATCAGAAACGTGATAACACCCTATTTCTCCCCATTTTTGAAAATGACATCACTATCCATCCACCTACTCAGATTTAAACACTAGGAATTACTATACTCTTCATTCTTTCTTTCCCTCATAGATTACCCTCAATTATTTTGTTTTGTTTTGTTTTGTTTTTGAGATATTTTTGCTATAAGGCACTACCAAAGAGACAGAGAGAAAGTGAGAAATCACCTCCCAGGGGGACTGGCCAAGTTACAATGTCTTCTCCATTCTTCTCTCAGGATTTTGGGCACACATGCACATGTTCCTGGTGTGAGTTTAAACCACTGAGTCCAGAACTCAAATCATGGTGAGAGTCCACCATGTGCTATCTGCTGGTACCATCCTTCAATCTTTAAATTCATCAGCAAAGTCTATCAACGATACCTCCAGCATTTACCCTATATCCTGACATCAATAGGTCAACTCTTGCCACCACCTTCTAGTTTCTCTCTCCATTTCCACAGAGCCCTCTCCAATCCATTCTCTAGACAATCACTAGAAAAATATTTTAAAAATGTAGATCAGACAATCTCCCACGTCCTGACACTTGGGTATAGATTCTTAGAAATAGGAGGTGTATGTTGAGCACCCATATACCCCCTACTGAAATTCTTCCATCAATACTTTACTTGTTTTATCAAATATCTGTTCATTCCTCTATCCATCAATTTATCTTACTTTTTGATTTCAATGTAAACTGCAGACATATTTCATCATACATATTTTTAAACTGGAGTTTAATATTTGTTTATAGTGCTTTTTAGTTTTTGGCCTTTCGACTGTATAGTGAAATGTACCATTCTGTGAATTCTGGCAAATGTGTACACCTATGTAATCCAAACCCCTGTCAAGATACAGAACACTTTTTTCATACCAGAAAGCGCTCTCCAGGTTATCTTTTAAAAGCACTTCAATAGGTTTCCATTGTAATCAGAATAAATCCAAACTCCTAGGATCTCTCAAGGATCCTTTATCTACTCCTCTGACCTCACTTCGCACCGACCTCCCTTGACTTGGTCACGTCTGGCCACATTAGATTTTTTGTTTATGAACAAACGTTCATGCCTCTGAAAGTTTGCGCTTGTTGTTCCTTCTACCTGGAGTGCTCTTTGCTCAGAATATCCGTTGGTTGGTGCTTCTAACCACTCAAATGCAACCACCATGGTATTTCTTCCCCTTGTTTTATTTTCTCTATTATATTTATTGTCTGAAAATGTTTTATGCAGATAGATGGATAGGCAGAGAGAGATCTATTTTATTTGTGCATTGTGTCTCCCTCCCTTAGAATATAGCTTTTATGGAACAGAAGCTTATATTATAATTATCTTTATTTCCCTATCACCTAGACCCTGACTCATGTGAGGCAGTCAATAAATGCTCAAGAAATAATAACTTGGGAACCAGCAGTTAGCGTAATGGCTATGTCGCTGGACTCCCATGTAGTCGACCACGGTTCGCATCCCAGACCCAGTGGCTTAAAACTCACACCGGGCGCGTGTGCATGTGTGCCCAAGATCCCGAGAGGAGAATGGAGGAGAAGGGATTGCGGCATGACCATCCCCCCTGGAGGGTGATTTCTCGCTTTCTGTCTCTATGTCTCTCTCTGTCTGTCTGGTGAGCACACGTGCCCTATAGCAAAAGTCTCTCCAAAAAAAAAAAAAAAAGAAATAATAACTAAAAGCTAAAGGAATTGAGTGGAAATAATAACAATAATAAAACTCTCGGGTTTTCTGGCTTAAGTAACTGGATCCTTGCAGCTGTGATATGAGGCTCATGGTGGGGTCCATACTGGTCAGGTAGTGTAGACAGTTACTCTTAGAGTATGCAGAGTTGGAATCCACCAGGCAGAATAGAGCACATAATTTAGGAGATCAGGAGAGAGCAGAGCCTGGTCTATAGGGAGTTAAAAGGTTTCAGGAACTGCAAGACAGGCTGAGAGTAGGAGAGGACAGAAGTATGATGTCCACCTTTGCCAAATTTATACCGTTGTCTTGTTCTTTTTTTTCCCCCCTCCCTGCTCTTTGCCTGTGTTTTGTGTTACCTCTTTGCTGCTCAAACATCAGCCATCACATAGCTTGTGACATCCACAGCCTCTTTACTGTAGCCTCTCTCTTCTCTTCTAATCTTTTTATGCTGGGTGGTAGACTAGGAGACCAGATAATGCAGCTCTTTAGCACTGTGTGAATAAATAGGCTTCATATAAGGCTTGAGACTGCCTCAGAGTCATCCGCTTGGTCTTTGTCACATACCTAGGTGACATTTATTTTAGCTGCTGTCTACAGCTTATTTTGTTATTGTCAGCCATATTCAGGTTAGGTGCAGTGTTGTCACAGTACATCTATATGTACATCATGTATAGTATAGGATAAGATGCTTCTAAGTAGCTTATTGATTGAACTGAATCAATGCCAACTTATTTGTGTGGGCAGAGACTTTCTAATCAGAAACTTGAGTGTTGTCTCTAAGAGCATCCATCCCTAACAAAGAACTAGCAGCATGGGGCACTGTCCCTCCAAGCTACAGTGGTGAACTTGGCAGTCTGTGCATAATTTTACTATGGATTGTATTCTCACATTAAAGCCCCTCAATGCAGGACAAAGTGGCCTGCCATGCTGGTCTGGACGATCCAGTGTTGACTGGTCATGAGCTCACTCCACTGGAAGAAATAATAGAAGTCCTGCCCTCTGATCTTGAGTGCCTCATATATTGATAGCATATATGATCCTCAAGAGGTCACCCTATAAACACACATGTGTACCTTCTCTAAGCCTTGGCATACTCTGTCTAAATTGACAATCTCGAAAAATAATAGGGAAAAAAACTCGACAGATTATCTTGAAATCCGTGTTTGGGGTTCTAATACTTGGAATTGTATGGCAATCTGTGGATATGCATGCATGCATGCTCAGGCGCCCTTTTCCTATACGGGGAGAGACTCAGAAACTCATCAGATTCTAGGGACCAGCAGTTAGTATAATGGCTATGTTGCTGGACTCCCATGTAGTCGACTGCGGTTCACGTCCCGGACCCGGTGGCTTAAAACTCAAGCCGGGAGCGTGTGTGTACGTGCCTGAGATCCTGAGAGGAGAATGGAGGAGAAAGGATTGCGGCATGGCCATTACCCCCGGGAGGGGATTTCTCGCTTTCTGTCTCTCTGTCTGTCTGGTGAGCACACGCACCCTATAGCAAAAACCTCTTAAAAAAAAAAGGAACTCATCAAATTCTCAAAGAAACCTGTGGAAAAATGGGAGTTCACTAAGGAGTAATGGAGAAAGGCAAGCATTGGAACAGTGAGAGAATGCAGGATTGGAAATGGGGAAATCTCTGTGAAATGAGGATAACAATAGTACCCATTTCATGGACTGTGACAAGAAGATAGTAATGAAATCTCTCGGCACAAGATCACTATAAGTAACTCAAAGTTCTGTGCATTTCTGCTCACCAATAAGTGATGGTTTATACTGTGCATTTCCTCCACTGCACCTTTCAGTTTGAAGTCTAAGAAATATCTGGAGGGGAGCGGAATGGGGGGAGATGTAATTTCAAGTGAAAGGTCAGTGGCACCGGCCAGGGTACTAAGCTCACCTAGTCGTCCGGTAGATCAGGAGTTGCGGGTCCCTGCGCACCGCGGCACCTGGGCCTGCGGGGATGCGGAGGGCTGCACAGTTCTCCTAGACCGCCACCTGGCGCTGGTCCCAGCCGGGACCTTGGGCTCCTGAAGCCCAGCTTGGGCGCCCAGGCGTACGTAAATAGTGTCTCTTCCAGCAGAGCAGGCGAGGCAGCATGCAGAGGAGCAGGGAATGGTGTGTGTGTCCATGGGCCCTGGGTCCACGGGCCCTGAGTCCACGCAGGGCGAGCGTGCGGTCAGGTGAGAGCAGAGGGCGGGGTGTGAGCACCTGAAACCGGCCTATTGTGAGCTTGGCCCGGCTGCCAGGACAACCGCCCAGGTGCACGGCGGGGCGGGGCCCCCGTTGCGGCGTGGGGGGCCCGGCGTGCCCCCCCCCGCCTCTTGTCTGGCCAGATGGCTGGGCCCCGACTAGAGACTGGAGGTGGGCTCTGCGCTCTCAGCACCAGTGCGAGAAAAGCCCAGCAGGGCATGCAGAGGTCTCCAGGAGTCTATCATTGTTTTGATCCTCTTCTTCCACCTGTCCTCAGTCAAAACATAATTTAATTAGGAAAGTAAAGTTGCGAATGGTAAATAATAATAGATAAAATGTCCAATGCAATGGTTTACAAAGTAAAATTAAATGGGAAATATAATAAGTTATACAATAAAATGGGAAATGATTTTACTTGGCAGAGACAATTGCTATATATGCTTGTAAATCTTTCCAGCAATATTTTTTTTGCATACTCTGGGATGCATGTGCTTTAAAATGTTTATACACGCATGGCAGCAATTAAGTCATGGAGGTAATTTTCTTTCAGAACATCCAAATGCTCCAATAACATTTCTCCCTCTAAACACACTCCTTTGGAGGCAAATTCCAGAAGTGTTTGTTTATGGACATATAAAATGTGTACTTTTAAAAATAGTACGTAGTGGCTTCTAACTAGATTGTTCCTCACACTATCTCTGTTTAAAAATATCAATAAAGCCAAACCTCAGTGCCATAGTCCGCACATACTGGCCTGTAGTGCTGGAAGCCACATGGATAACCTGGGGTTCAGATCCTGCCCTGTCTACCTGAAACACACCAGGCACACACACAAATGACCAAGGTCATGCCAAACTTGAGGGCTGGGGAAAGAGATTGTGGCATAAGGAAACTCTGTCAAGGATGCTGCTCTCTGTCCTCCCTTTCTTTTACAGGCATGTATGCTCTATTATCAAGAAAATTCAAAAAATAAACCTTTAAATAATGTATTAAATTAATTTTTTGAGAGAAATTTTTCCTCTAGGGTACATGTGCTTGCTAGAGAGACAGAGACAGAAAGTGAGAAATAACCTCCAGGGTGGATGGCTACACAATTCCTTGTTCTCCATTCTCCTCTTAGGATTTTGGGTATGCATGCACATACGCCCTGTGTGAGTTTCAAGGTGCTGGGTCTGGGATCTGAACCACAGTCAACCATGTTGGAATCCAGCACTTTAACCACTGTACCACCTGCTGGCCATTATATTTTATACTTACATACAATTATATATTTAATTATGTATTATATACAATGTAATATATATAATAGATTCACTTATGTATTTTAATATTTTATATGTATGGTATTTCATGTTATGTAACATTATATATTATATAATTAATTATATATAATCATAATATATAATATATAATAATTAATTACATGTGATATGTAATACATAATTATAATTCCATTTGGCGGGGGCAGATGGTGCTGTGGCACACCATGCTGCTCTTCAAGGTTGACCCATGTGGGAAGATTCCAGGTTTGTGTCCAGAGAGACTCCCTGAATGTGCCAGGCACAGGTATGGCCAGGATCCTGGGCAGGGCTAGAGTAGGTAACAGTATGAAGACTCTGTTGTGGGTGCTATTTCCCTCTCTCCATCTCTTTTTATTTCTTTCCTGCACTCATGGAAGAAAGGAAGAAAGAAGCTTTAAAAATAGGTCATTTAAACTCTGTTTCATTCACACGCACACTAACACTATGAACATGGAAAATATAAAAAATATAAAGCAAACTATGGCTGAAGACAAAGAAGGCAGCTTCTATCACTGGAATTCCTGTGTGTTCTTCCCAACGTTGCAACTTTCCTCTGGTCCTCAGAGATGATCCCTCTTCTGAGTTTTGTATTTATTATTTTCTAGCTTTTTAAAAAAGTCTTGCCTCATAGGAATGCTTCCCTAAAAAACACACATGCAGAGTATTAACATGTTTTGATAATTTATAAAAGTGGAGTAGAATGATGTTCATTGTTTTGATGACTTTTTTCCTTTCAACATCTATTTTTGAAATGGATCTTTGCATTTAATTGTGGTTCCTTTATCTTAAAGGCTATATGTTGTTCCATGGGGCCAGCAGGTGGCACGGTGGTTGGGGTACTGGACTCCCACATGGCTGGACTTGTGGTTCAAGTCTTGGCCCTGGTGGCTTGCTTTCTTACTTTCCCTTTCTCTTTCTCTGTGTCTCTCCCTGGTGAAATTAAATAAATTAAATAATGATAGTGAATAAAATTAAATAAATAATTCTTTTTTTAAAAAAAAGATATATGTTATTCCAGTGTGTTGCCATTCCATACTCTTTTTTTAAAAAAAAAAAATTATTCAATTTTATTTTTCATTCATTTATTTTAATTTGACCAGAGAGAGACAGAGAGAGAGAGAGGGAAAGTGAGAAAGCAAGCCTTCAGGTCTAGAACTTGAACCAGGGTTGGCCATATGGAAGTGTCCAGCGCCTTAACCATCCTGCCACCTACTGGCCCCTCCATATCCTTTTAAAAGTCAATTCTACTATGATGAACATTTGGAATGTTTTCTGAATTTGCTATGAAAGAAGCAATGCTTTTATGGTCATATTTGTCTGTATCTTTAAATGCAGAAGTTCAAGTGTTTCTCTAAGGTCTAGGCTAGGAGTGAAATTTCTGGGTCATAGGTTACTTATCACATAAAGAAAATGACAGTTTGTTTTCCAAGCACAATAGCAATTTCAGTTCTCATTAGCAGTTTGTGTCTTGGCCAAAACCTGGTTTTGTCACACTTTAAACTCTTTGCCAATCTAGTGGGTATGCTCTTTCATAAATCTACTTATATCTTGGGATTATCAATTAACAGTCTGAGCTTTATTCCTTGGAGATATTTGGATGTAACTTTATTGTTGAACTACACTGTTCACCCTCAAGTTCTTATATACCTCTCTTTGATTGTTTTGGATAGATTCAAGACACCATCTGTTGAATTACTATTTCTCATTGTAGGCAAAGCTTCACCTCTAAGTTTGGTTTCTTGACCTAGTTGGATCTGGCAATGATAAACAGGTTGCTCAGATTATTCAGATTTCAGTTTATAAAATCAGAAGGCTAAGAACTGATGTTACAAACCATAAAGAAAATAGGCATAAGGATGGAATGAACTACATTTTACTTTTGGTGGACAAACATGGTTGTTTTCTTGGGAAATGCTGTGGAGGGACAATTCAGCTCTGTCTCACAGCTTGTCAATGGATTTCTTACAATGATGATTGCTTTCATTTTGGGCAAAGTAAATGTCAATGGAAGTGTTTCTTAATTCTGTAGAACATTTCTAAAGTTATCTGAGAATATGGTAAATTTTGGAGGAAAAGTTTGAAAGACTGAAGGAACAGGCTGGTACATATGTGTTTGTACCCCAAATGTAATGTGCGAACGATGTTCAGATTATATCAGAACTAAAGGTGAAAATATTTTGAACATCTTGGAGATAAACAGCATAATATGATTCACTCTCTTAACTTGGTTTCAGGGAATTTTTTTCCTGAAAGGATGTTTCCTGAGTTTCATGAAAACTCTTTGATTTTATTAGAGGGTAGCTTAACAAAAGATAAAGTACATTATATTCCAAAGTTTTTAACACAAGGAGACTATTTATTGCTGAGTCATTTAAATATAAGCTTCGTATTAATGATGGGGTAGGTATAGATAGCATGGGTAAAATTTTAGAAATCCCAGATTAGTAAGTAGATACAACCTTTCCCCTCTTTCATCAGAGAACTTGAAACCCTGCAAAGCTTTCTTAACTTGAACTTTACCATTTTCCCCTTAGCCATTTGGCAACAGATTTGTCAGACAACACAAAGGACAAGTGGGAGGAAAGGGTATTCAATGTTCTTACTGCTCAAAATGATACTAAAATGACAGAAAACTACAAGGATTGATGCATTGACTAAATCCCTGTTAATAACCTAACCCATGCTTCCATTTGGTGGTAAATGAAATTTTATCTTTAAATTACAGTTATTCAAAAAATTCAAAAATGAATACTTCTTACAGAGTTCCAGGCAATCTGCAAAATGTTTACTAAATAAAAATGACTCTATTGAATTACCTCACACATTCCAAAACAAAACAAAACAAAACACCATTAAAATCCATGGGACCAGCAGTTTGCATAATGGCTAGGTCGCTGGACTCCCATGTAGTTGACCGCGGTCTGAGTCCCGGACCCAGTGTCTTAAACTCATGCTGGGCGTGTGTGTGTGTGTGTGTGTGTGTGTATGCCCAAGATTCCTAGAGGAGAATGGAGAAGAAGGGATTGTGTTGTGACCATCCCCCCTGGGGGGTGATTTCTCACTTTCTGTCTCTCTGTCTCTTTCTGTCTTTCTGGTGAGTGCACATGCCCTGTAGCAAAAACCTCTCCAAAAAAAAAAAAAAAATCATTAAAATCCAGTGGTAAACTACATTAGTGCATTAGCTGTCAGAAGCACTTAAATTCTTATTTACTGGCCTGAAAAACAAGCCATAAGCTAATTGTTCCCTACCAGCATCTATATTAATTAATTTAAATTCAAAGATAAATGAAATATGAATTAGTAATAACATGATATGCCAGACAATGATGGTAATTTAATTGAAAATGAAATTTCTTGAACCATTATGTGTCTCTTCATAAGACTGAAGTAAGGTAAATATAGTTTTTTTTTTTCGCAATTATTTAAAAAATTCTTCTCTCATAAAGCCTGTATTTGTATATTTTTTCCCTTGAAAAGTAACTCTTTCAAGATGCCTTTAAGTTTTAGGAAATGCTATTTACCATTTTATACTGCACAGTGATTAAATCTTTACTGTAAATAAATGATGTATTGGTAACAGATATTTAGTTTGTTTTCCAAAATAAATGAAAACATCAATTAACTTTCAAATAGGATATAAATGGGTAGACAACGTAGAACACTATTTAATATTCCATT